CACAAAATTGGAACAGATCTGTCCTAGTTTATGGATGATTTGGTCGTACTTTGATTGCAGGCCTAGCGCCTGGTTTGACAAAAATGACCAGTCAGCGTGGTAGATTTCGCAATTTATGTTTTCAAAATCGGCTTTCGTAAAGTCTAGGCCGGACGGTTGAAAGTTACTTTTTGACACTACGCAATCAACTTTAATGACCATCAACTATAATAATTTTCTTGACGCGTCTGTCCGTCCGTCTGAAGCCGAATTCAACTCGAAGGGGAAAGGAGCTAGAGCTTAGCTCTCTTCGGATTCGGATAGAGCGTGCTCGGAAACCCCCAAACTGATAAAAAAATTATGAAAAACTTTTAGTTTAAATTATTAAAATTAACTTTGAAAGTTTTTTCCTTAGTAAAAGGGGAGGGGATGGAGGTTGGGGTGATTTTGTACATAGTGAGCCAGGTGGCGTGCGTTCCCTGGATGAAAATTTTCACGGGAGCCATTTCATTTCTATTTTTCTCCCACGTATCCGGTCGGTCGTTATTTTAGTTTTTTAAGGGGCATTCGCCTAGGGGAGGTATCTAAAGCCATCAGGAAGGTATTTAGGTAGTTTTTGAAGGGGGTTTCAGCCATGTGGGGTATCTGAAGCCATCAGGAGGGTATTTAGGTAGTTTTTGAAGGGGATTTCGGCTAGGGGAGCAATCTGAAGCCATCAGGAAGGTATTTAGGTAGTTTTTTAAGGGGATTTCAGCCATGGGGGTATCTGCAGCCATCAGGAAGGCATTTAGGTAGTTTTTGAACGAGATTTCGGCTATGGGGGGTATTGATGGAGGTGGGAAAGGATGTGGTGGAGTGAGACATTTAGGGTAGCCCGAAGGCCAGATGGTTGCAGTCGCGAAGCGACTGTAACCATCTGGTGCTTAGATGATCGCATTTGGCGAAAGGCGCGTGGGGAGAACAAGATGTGACAAGGCCGGGCGACGAAATAGCCACGTCTAGCATTTTTTCGGTTTGTGGGTATGTGGCAAAATTTGAGACTAACGTTAAGCCTAATTCTACGGTAAACTCGTGCAAAAGGAGAGCCCTTTTGTCGCCGAACGTCGGGACGATGCCTGGAAAGATTGAAAAGTTTAAATCGCCGACCAATAAGACATGTTCGGCAGCGGCAACATGACCATCTAGACTTGACAGCAACAACTTAGTGTCCTCAAACGTAACTTGCGGCGGCCTATAAAGGTTGATAAAGCGGAGTTGTTGAAAATTTAGAAATATATCGAGAATTAAGATTTCGCTTCCGTAAGAAGAAGTGGAAAGAATTATTTTTGTAGGAATGTGGGATCTAACTAAAATGCAAACGCCACCTCCTGTTCTATCTTGCCTATCGGCGCGAAAAACCTTATATGCTCCTACGGGTCCAGTAAGTAGATTATCGGGCACAATCTCGGAAAGCCAGGTTTCTTGGTAAAAAATCATGTCATAAAGGTTTTCTGCTAGGAGCGTTTCGTGTTCGACTAGTTTAGTTTTAATGGAACGGGAGTTTAGCGAAAATATTGTCAAGGTGGGGGAAATGTTAGGGCTGCGAAGAGGACTGGGACCGGGTATGGGGGGCGCGGAGAGGGTTTGACAATGACCGTGGCGGCAGAGGAATCGCTAGCAAGGGACGAGGTGCTGCCTTTCGCATCCTTCGGATCGTATCCCGGCAAAATGTCCTCGCGATCAGACGATCCGTCGTCATCTATCGTTTTGCTAATTTTGTGGAGTTGCTGCTGACCGTCGGCGGCATTGGCCTTCCTCTTCGTTTGGAGAGGGCCTTTGCCAGCTTGGGAAGCCACCCTTTGTCCGAACTTTCGATTTGGCTTCCTATTAACCGCAGGGCGGAGCCTAACCTGAGTGAGCGGTTGGTTAGGCAGAGTGGAAGTTTCCGGGTCGATTTGCATGATTTCCTCATCATACTGGGTAGAAGCGGCGATTTCTTTCGTCGGCTCTGCGTTGGGACGGCCGGGGCTGAAGCGTGATGGATCAGATTTACGGACTTGTAGGCCGCGAGCTGCGTAAGGCAGCTTGTTCGCTGGAGTTCTGCGAAACGTCGCAACTGCGTTCGACACCATATGCCTAGAGGAGACGATGAGCTTCAGGGGCCGCGGTTTTGAAAAATCGAAAACTCCCATTCGATAGCTATAGACAATATCCGTGTCTAATCCTAGCAAAGCAAAAACGTGCTCGATTTGCAGCCGATCGTAGTGGCGGCGATCGACCGGCGACAGGCGAGGGTCTGGCTGTACCTCCGACAAACCGCTTACGACGAGCATATAATCGTCCGTAAAGGTTTTCGCAGCCATGGCGTCATCTTTCCAGGGCTGATTCCATTTTGGTGGCGGATTCGGTGGCATCATCAACGGGTGGCAGTTCTTGATATGGGGCGGGGGGTGTACAAGGAACATTATTCGGAAAATTTTGGGCAGGGAAACTAGGGGGATTTGTGGGAAAGAAATAAGACATGATTTCAAACGAAAACAGAAAGAGGGAAAGAGAAGAACAATTAATTGACCTGAATTTCGAGTTTTCCCTGCTGCTTCTCCTGGGTTGACTTGAGAGTGGTCGATGTGGTCGTTTTGCGAGGAACGGTTGACTTGTAGTTTGAAGCGGGCGGCAGGCGGTTGGCGGGTGTCGGCGGGCACGGCGGCAGCGGACACCTCAAACTCAAACTTGGGTAATTAAATTTCCTATTCCTTCCCTACCCGTTTTCCACTATTTGCCATTTCCATTGCGGTGAACTGTGGCCGGCTTTTTTGGCTGTAGAAAGGAGCCGAAAGGAAACCCAAGCGGGGCAGTGGAGGGGAAATGCGTAAACATTTCGTATTTATGCCCGGGCCACCCATTCAGGTGGTCAGCCAGCGAAACACGAAAAAAAGAAAAGAGATGGAGTCAGAAAAAGAACTGTGGTGAGTTGGTTGGCATGAGGAGTTGTGCGTAGTAGTCATAGCGCTGTGTGTGGGGAGAGCTCTCAAAAATTCTGCATCTCACTGGCTGACTGACTGGCAGATTTTCAAACAAACACGGGTTTTTTCGTTTTTGCTGGGCCCGTTCGAGTGGTGGATTAGGGCGATTTCGAGAGGTTCACTGGCGGCCCACGCACCGATTTGGGTAGAAAAAGTGGGAAAGTCGAGGGGTTTGTCAGATTTTTGCCAGATCGAATCAGAATTCGACACTTTCTTGTCATTTTGAAGGTTTTGGGGTATATTTCTCGATTGAGCAGGTTAAAAACGTGTAATACGTATGCTGTAATTCTCTAATTTGCATTTATGTTATTTTTATTAACGCGGGGTCCGTTAAAAACAGAACTCTGCTTCATAAGGCCTCCTTAAAACTATCGACGTTCTGCAATTTATGCAAATTTCGTTATAATTGGGATTCCAACCCTTGAAACTGCAGTTTTGAAAGACTAGTATAGACTCAGAAATTGCAATAATATGTCTTTTGTCAGTTTTTTGGATTTAAAGCTGCGGATAAAATAAATTTTTTGTAAATTTTGGTAATTTTACACACATATTTCGCTCCTAAAAACTACAAAATCGTAAAACCAGCTGACAATCATTATTTCTCGAACGTTCCACTTCCTTCCAAGATACTCACATGCCCTTCAACCTTAAAATGCGATGTTTACCCCGTTGCCCGACCACCTCCATGGCTAACCTTCGAATTCCTTACAAAACCCCTTTACGCCGGGACGACCGGGCGAATTAGGCTGTTTTTAGGGGGAAAAGACGGAAACGTTCCGCCGTCAGCCCCGCCCTGGGTAAGCCGAAGGACTGACATTGCGGTGCTTCCACGGCAATACTCGCGTACTCAAGTTTTCGGCCTAGAATAGCTACGGTTTGGCCTGGTAATCGGCTTTTCGCTTGAGGAGACTGGTTATTTTTAGACACAGGCATTCCATCATTCCGTTACGCTTCCCGAACGTTTTCTAGCTATTTTCACCTCTTTTTCGATGCCAGAACAGATTTACGTATATTCAACGTTAGAAACGTTGTTGTTTCGAAGCCTAAAATTGTTTAATGTCGGCTGAGACACAAAACCGGTTCTACGAGACTTTCTCGAGGCCCAGCAGTTTCGCAACGTTGCAAAAACCGCTGCCCGGTCTGTGCGAAATGATGAGATTGGCTCCGGCGGCACTTTTGCCCCTCCAACGGGCCCTCCGAAATTTATTGCTTTTCGAAATTCGAAAATTGCTTGAAACTTTTTTGGGGGAAGGGAAACAAGGGCGTGGCTCTCTTGATTTAAAAATAGATAGTGCGGCGGATTTTTGAGACTTGAAGAAGAACCTATTAAAGATAAAAATTATTAAAACAATTAAACTATTAAACAGGAAAATATTACAAATTAAGCAAAACCACACCAAACTTAAACGCTCTGAATATACGCAAATTTTACTTTTATCTGGTCGTTTCAGGTTATCAATTTTCATTTTTTTTAACACTCTAAGGCCCGGAACCGCCAAAATCCCGACAGCCGGCACCTCGACAGATCAAAATCCCGACATCCATAATTCCGACGCGCAAAATAGCTGTAAAAAAGATGACATAGGTCAGGAAAGCCCCGGAATTTTGGCTGTCGGCATTTTGGCAAGCGGTATTATGATTTGTCTGTCGGGATTTTGATCCCGGTCGGTAGACCATGTTATTATTATTTCAAAATGCGCAACAACCCCGCAGAAAAATACGCTTCGCAAGCAATTTCCTCATAAATATCACGACCTAGTCATTCAACCCACACACAAAATTTCAAACCCTCCACTCATTTTTCCAAACCCCTTCTTTTTTCAATTTTCACCAAGCGCTGGAAAATTTCCCGAACGCTGCGAAAATCTTTTCACCCCCGCCAACCCGGCTATGAATCACGCGCCGTGCAGCAGGCAAAACCTAAAAGGTCTCTATTTAAGGTGTGGGTGGGTGTGGGGCCGGGCAATCATTTCCCCCTTCGGGACCACCCCCCATACACCTCAAAATTCACCTGTAGAAATGGAGGGTACGGTAAGCATCCTGCGGCGCTCCATCTCCAGGAAGTCATTCCGAGCGCTTAGGTTCGAAAGGCTGCTTGTTTTCCCATTTTTTGTCACCTTCTACCCTCTATGCTGCTACTTCTACCCTATGCTATGTCTTTACTGGTTCCTTTTTGTGTCGTAGTACGTTAATTGTTCCAACTTTTAGCGAATCCTCTTCCAAACCCAAACCCCAGGACGACGAGATGGCCGTCGCTTTCCGAGACTCGTGGTTTGACAACAATCACAGCTTGTTCCCGAGGCACAGGTACGGCAGATTTTCATTTTTTTCATAATTTTTATATTGTTGATTTTTATGATAGTTCCAAAATCAATGTGACCACAGGAAAGAAAGTTTCTTTAGAAAGTTAGGTTGATCGACATTTTCGGTAAGACTTTACTTTACCCCCTCCCCACAGCCGAAGGGTCTCAAGGTTTTTGGTATTTTCGCTAAATTTTGAGGGGATTTTTGCAACGCCATTTGATAGAGCGTCAAAAAATGTACTCAGGGTTTGAATTTTAGCCTACAATAAGGTAAAATAAAAAAGTTACAGCCAAAAACTCCGGCTGGGGTGCGGGTAAAGTAAAGTTTAGTCACATTTTCTATATAAATCTTTAAAAACTGCGTACTCCTATTCATTTTATCATAATACAAGGTTTTATATCGCTCAACTGCAAAGAAAGTCCCTAGTAATCTCATTTATCATATTTGAGTTTTCGACAATTTTTAATACATACCTTTCCACTCCTTACTCTTCGACGTACGGACCTTTTTTGCCTTTTCCAGTCCAAATTCTATTCTTTATTGTTTAGTCTACACGCCCCATTTTTCGCATTGTTATGACAGGATGATGAGGCCATTTGAAAGCATCTAGCTTTCCCACCCCCTCTACCCACCAAATAGTCAATATTCGCTGCGCCCGTTTATTCAGCCCGTCCCGGCAAACGGCACAAAAAACGGCTGGCTCTCTTCGGCGCGCTCGAAAATATATCGCCCGCCAAAACTTTTTCGGCCCGCATGCACATCGGCTTCACATCGATTTCCGTTAGCTTTTAGCGTTTCTCAAACGCCTCGGAGAGCTTTTTATTCGAAAAAAAAATCTTAGAAATCTAGGATTTTATTCTGAAGCTTGAAAATGACACGGAATATTCATTCTTCAAGGGAGGGCCCGAGTCGACCGAGCCTCTTTGACGATGATTATTGGTAAAGCTTGCTTTTGGGATGTTGTCAAGTGTTGTTGATCGTAATTTGCATGCATCCTCATGTCAAAAAATTCGAGTTCGTCCCCAAAATACTTATAAAATAACCTCTCGTTCTAAAAAAACTCGTTCTTTCCACTATCTAAAAAAATCAAAACCATACTCCACTAATAGCAAAATAAACAAGAATATTAATAAATCAAAATATTCAATTTTTGGAATTAATTTGGCAAAGTTTGGCCCAAACCTGAATCTGAATAACCTTTTTTTAAAGATCGAAAGCATGGTAATTTGACATTGTAAAAAGGCATGAGCATGAGGAGTCCCTGTGTGCTAAAACGCGCCCTTTATTACTGTATCAACCTGAAATCTATTCAATTTTAGGGACTCGCTGTGGGCTCGTGATGATTGGCTCGACCGGATGGAGGACTGGCCCAGGGACTGGCCGAGACCGCGCGAGATGATGAGCCGAGTAAGTCCCATGGACTAGATTTGCCTTTAAGGCGTTTTAAGATATTGTAGAATACTTAAATTACATTGTAACTTACTCAAGCCGACTTTACGACACCTTTAAGGACTTGCTCGGATAATCGGCAGATCGTAAAACTCGCTAGATTGCCTTCAGCTTCTCCCCCATCTACCCCCGCCCCGCCCGCCACCCTCGTCCTATTTTCAGTTTGTTTTGTCTGTGAGTCAGGTTGCGCGACGCTTTTCATCCACAAAATAGCCCCCCACCTCCACGAGAACATGGTTTTGATACGGAATTCGGGTCGGCTAGGTGTAGGGCGGAAATATTGCCGGGCACCCTCTCGAATGTACGATATGCTCCGTTCCTATCAGGCTGATCGGAGTATGGAAGAGTATGTTCAGGTGAGTAGAACCTTAGGGTAGTGTCGCGATCGCATTTTCGTAAGCCTAAGCCTAAGCCACAGCTTAAGCCTCAGCCTAAGCCCAAGCCAAGCCCAAGCCTAAGCCTAAGCATAGCCTAAACCTGAGCCTAAGCATTGATTTCGCAAGTTTTTTTTAATTTTTGATTCCACGCCCTGATTCAGATGTTGTGGGGGAAAGTTTTAAATATTTGCAGAGTCGATCCTAGAAATATTTCTGTAGCGCAGAAACTCTTGGCGGTCACTTCAAATCGACCACAAATAGAAAAACGCAAATTTCGAGCGCATGGACCCATAAAATCAGCCTCGTTGCTGGTGGTTGGTCACCTTTTGCGACCGAGAACAGTCTCATACAATCTTCCAACCGTAGGCACCTTATCCTACTATATATAAAAAATAGTGTCTCTGTGTGTGAGTGTGTCCGTGCCACTTTGCATGCAACTTCCGTCAGCGTGTTCCAGTAGTATCTCAATTAGGGGGTTAGCTAGGGGCATGTATTACACCTCATTAGGTGCGTAATGGCCTTGGGATGGCTGCACACTAATAACATTTTCAAAAATTTGCTGTTTTCGACGTTAAAATTAAGTTATTGTTGAAAAATCTGACACTCTCTTTGTTAGGTAACAATTAGCATACGCCGGAAGTCACGGTAGCCGATATAAGGGCAGAGAGGCAGCGTTTCTCATTTTTTGTCATCGAAAACCGCGAGATTATGCAAATTGAAGATAATCATGGGATCAAACGGGGCCAGGGTTGAAAAGTCGCGAAGCGGCTTTTCAACCTTGGTTTTCTTATCTAATTTTCTCTGTTACCCAACTAGCAACGCCAATATTTTGTGACCTGCTTCCCGATTCCCCATTCCCGGGCCGGACGCCGAAAATTGCCGAGAAAAGTCGAAAACTCGAGGTGCTCAAGGATTTTCTTGGGGTAGGGTGGGGGGTAGGGCGATGGCCGGGAGAAGGCGGATTATGCCTCTTTTGGGGGTGGTACTTGAGGTAGTTTTTTGAGGGTTGAGTTTGGTTGGGGGTTCCCGTTAAGTTATTCTTCGTTTTAAGTCAGCTAAGCATGTCTATATACTTTTAAGCTGTTGAAAAATAAAACAAAAATGTATGCTGATTTTTTAGGTTTCTAATGACCGTTTTGATATTTTTTACAAAATTCGAAACTCTCCACCCCACCAAAATATGTCGAGCAACTGTCCGCATTTGTGTGGTCGTGCTTTTGAGGGTGTGAGTGAGTGAGTGTGGTAGTGGCTGGCTGGGTGCATATAGCCTTTTCAGGGAAACTAGTCTGGTCACTCTTGTGCTCGTGCTCACCCGGCCCCCGTATTCGGGCGATTGCTTTTTGTCGCATTTGCTCAATAATCGACACCCCCCGGGGGCGCCCAATATGGATTCCGGATCCAGATTTTCTCATTAAATCCCCTAATTATGCCTGAAAAGTAGTATATTGACGTTTTGACGCTAATTCCGATGAATACCTCGAGCCATTTACATCAAAAAGAATGCCATTAAAATTTGGGCATCTCTTTTATGAAGATAGTTATAGTGCTTTAGTATTCTGATTTTTATGGGATTAACTATTGCTATTATTATTCAATCCTTAATCCCTTTTTTTAGTTCTTCCGCGACAACGAGCGCCTCGAGGATTGGCCGAGGGACTGGCCGAGGATGGACGCCGTCATGCCAAAGGTATCGTATTTAGCGTTAAACCCGAAAAAACATACCACCGAGTAACCTGCCATTATCTGTCAATCAGCCCAACGATTTTCCGGTTGTTTACCGGTTTTATTGTATGCGGGGAAACAAGGTCATCCGGAGTGTGTGGCGACGGGGCATTCCATAAAATTCCTGGTGACGGATTGGTTTTTAATCTATGCTCTTTCATTATTTTTGTCGAGTGTCTTCCTTTATTTAATTGTTGATAGAAGTATTGTCGCCTGCTAAATGTTCTCTGCTAGCTTGCCCTACTCAAAAAAATGCAAAGAGAAAGAAACTTAACGATGTTCCAAAAAGTCTTAATGTTCAAAAACGATATACGTAATTTTTCGTGTTTTTAACCAAAAATCCTCCGTTTTGTTGTATTATTTTGTTGTAAAAATCCGTATGTGTTGTTTTGTCGTTCCATTTCCCTCTCGAAATCCCCCTAAAACTTTCGCCCTTTTCGCCCCCCCTCGCCACCTAGGGTTGTGTCCACTCGTTTCGACGGTATTCCCGAAGTGCCGTATTTCTGTTTCTCTGTCTCTCTGCCTGCCTGTCTGTCCATCCTTCTGTATGTCTGTCTGTCTATCCTTCTGCCTATTTGAATGGGGGTCTCATCCACTTTCACGCGTCGACGTGTGCTCGCCCAGGTGAGTAATCATCCCCCCCCTCGCCACTCTATACCCATCCCAGGTCCATATTTCATCCGGGGTTTTTGGCCAAGTTTCAGCTGGTTTTCCGGGCGATTATTCATCCGGAAAACGGGCTGGAACGGGCGTTGGCAAACGGCCAATTTTGGGGGTGACTTCAGAATAGCGCTTTCGTCTAGTTTTTAAGCTATACTTCTTTCCTATACCAGTTTTGACATTTCTTCCCTACATGCTGAATACATTTAGAACTCACTTTAAAGGGGCTGGCAAACAAAATCTAGGCCTTTTGTTGGCTATTTATTTAATTCCGTTTGTCCGCGCCGCGACACGTAACGCACGCGCTACGACGCAGCGGTGAATGCGTTTTTGTTTCATTACGCAATGGAATACCTTGCCCATATTTTTCTTTTGACATTTTCATGACCTCATCGGATAATTTTTCCGAAAATATTCGCGCTCCCAATGTCAAAATTCGCTGTCCGGCTCACCCCTGCCCCCACACTTCTCCTTTACAGGGCTATTCGCAGAATATTTGCCCACGCTGCCCACCCATATCAAATCTTTTTGCCCGTTTTTGTGCATTCAATTCAACCCAAATTTCTGTCCGTCTTCGATCCTTGATAAGAACTGGTTCTCCGAAATTCAGAGCTCACCCCAAAAAAATTGTCGCACCCCATTGGATGACCTTGCGCTACTTTGATTCTAGTGATCTGGAGAGGCCCAGGACGTCGAAAAGTGTAAGAAGAAAATGTACCACGCAACCCAAAAGCATATAGTACGCTTTATAGCCTACTTCTTTGTAGTTCACCTCGCATCTCGACCGCCTAGACAACAACTGGCGCCAGGATCCATTTTGGAAGGACCTGTACCCTAACTGGGCGCAGCCGCTTTTCAAGGTAAGTACGCTAGGAGACTATAGACGTTTTGCAAAACCCTAGCTTACGCAAAAATTACTATTTAGGAAGGCATCGATGTCAACTCCTCGATCACGAATGATGATCGCCGCTTCGCGGTGGCCATCGACTGCTACCAGTTCAGACCGGAGGAGATCCAGGTAACTTTCAAAGTCGAAACCTCTAACTTCCATTGGGCTTTCAGGTAAAAACGCTGGATGATACTCTCCTCGTCGAGGGCCGTCATGAAGAGGCACGAGACCGTGACAACTTCACGAAGATGTATTTCGTTCGGAAATACCAACTGCCCAACGACATTGACCCGCAGGAGATCAGCAGCAATATTGATTCGAGGGTGAGTTAAAGCTAGATATAGAAATGTAGAAAATGTAACGGCCGCACCGGTTCTGAAGGTACAGAGAAGTAACGCGTTGTGACAGTGGACTACGCGCGGCTTCTCCCAAAGGCGCACGTATTCGGAAAGTACAGTGGAGCATCGCGTTGCGCAAGATGGACTACGCGAGGCGCCTCTGGACCTTCGAACCACGTGCGCACTCTCATTTCCTGACTAATTTATATGGCTGTGGGTTAATGATACTTTAGGGCCGTCTCACCGTCGAGGCCGCCAAGCGCCCTCAAGCCCTGACCGGCCGCGAACGCCTGGTCCCGATCGAGGGATCGAGTAAGTATCGCAGCACCAGCCGCTCGCGCCACGACTCGGGATTCAGTAGTTAGTCTTTCCAACACTTCTACGCTGTCTCTGGAGACTGCCAAGAAAAATTGATTTAGGTTCTAAAAATCGTGCCTATTTTCAGACGGTCTCTCCCCGTCTTCGGGCGCCCGGAACTACTCTCCAGTGCAAGTTGACACTAGCTCACACCTTGGGCGTCATCACGAGGAGGATCGCTACCGTAATGAGTACCGCTCGTCGTCGCGTCAGGAGTATAACGGCGGTAGCGGTGGCTATGGAGGCCGCACCGTTGAGGTCCCGATCCATCGTGAAGGGGCGGATAACCGTCAGTATGGGGATTCGCGTAAGTCTTTCTTTGGTGAATTTTTCATAGCCTCTTTGGCGGACGCGTCGTATACTAAACGGGAATTTCATAGTGTGTACGGTTATTGTTACAGTCCTGTACCGTGATGCTGAACTGGCTGACCGTGCCGCCGGAAACCAACACTCTGAGAGCTATTATCGCCATGAGAGTCGCAACAATTTGAGCCCGCATCAGGTAGGTGTTTGTTTTTAGCAGCTCACATTAACTATCTATCGTCTAATGCCTTTTCAATATTGATTTGCAATTCCAGGTCACCGCCTCCAACGAGAACCGCGCCTACACTAATGGCGGCGGCGCCCGCCGCACCTCCTTCGACACGAATGGTATGCAATTCCTCAAAAATTTCTCCGTTCTGTCCCTCCCTCTCTCTCTCTCTCTCGCTCTCTCTTGCGCTCTCTTTTTCTCGCGCTAACCTTGAAAATTGACCAGCTGACTTAAACGGATTAACAAATTTCCCTCTCCGTTCCCGGGTCAAAAACCTCACCTCCAGAGTCGCGCGAGCAAATGTCGCCAGGCCGAAAGGCCTTCGAGGAAACCCGCGAAAAATTTGAGAAAGGTTTGACGGCAAGGCCAAACTTCCCAATGCTTCAAAAACTTAAAAATACGCGAATTCTTCCCGGATTTTCACTTTGAGCCCCTGAACACAATGAAAGTTTATATAAATAACAATTCTGAGTGTTTATACTAATCTGGAATAGATGTGATGATAGATCGGTTTTTAGGATTCCGTTCGCATTCGGCATCTCGCGGAGCGGCCGAATCGCAGCGCCACGAGTCTTCGTATCAGAGCGGATACCAGGGCGGATACCAGAATGGGTACCACCACGATAGCAGCAGCTCTCGAAATGGTAAGGAAAATTAACAAAACGACGCATTAAAAATCGATAAAGGGTTACCAAGAACTCTCTTAAAAAATTTGTGCTTAAGACCGCGAAATTATCGATCCGGAATGATAATTCTATCTAAAAATAATCAGCATTCCGTATTAGCTATAAAAGTAAGCGAAAAATTCCCATTTTATGTCATTACGCCGAAATTCGCTTCACTGCATGTAAAAGCATGAATTTTCACGCGTTTTGCCATGCCAAAGCTCCTTTTTAATAATACAAAAAGTATGCTAGTAAAACTGAGACTGTAAAAAAGTTTTGCGCGCGCGCATTTCCAGAATTTGCATAAACTCTACCGTACCACCACCCTATCGTGTGCTATCCTAGCTTCTCCCCGCTCTGTGCACTTCGCGAATGAGCACTCGGAGCGAGACCTCGGCATTCTCCCGGAATGGAAGCCCGGCCAACCACCCCGCTTCATGCGTCCATAGGATGGTCGTGTAGCCCGGAGAAGTGCGCTTTTTACGTTAGAATTACGCGCTCAACTTGCATGGCTTTCCCACCTCTGTTGCACGTTCATTTCTGTCTTTTGGTTTGGAAACTGTTTAGTTAAATTATTATTCAAAATCTATAGTATTTTTCATGGATCTTTCGCTAAATCGAGCCCTGTAAATTTTATTTTTCGTTTTTTTTTTTGGTATCTAAAATCTGCCTAACTTTCTGGGTTTCATCTACAACAATCTAATTATTTTAATGACTATTTAGACCGTAATTTACGTCAAATTTCTAGGTGGATACCGCGTCGACTCACCCGCCTCCACCTCCACCGGCATCCTGAAACGCACTGAGGATCTTCCGCCCAGATCCGAATCCCGTTCCGAGTCCGTCCGCTCCGTCAAAATTGTCCGCACCTACAACTAGTTACTCTAGTGAAACACCGTGATCACAAATTCCTATAACCATTGACCCAAATTTGATACTGCCCGTTCTTCATTTTTTTTCCGGAAAATCGGCTTTTGAAATTTTACTTGGCTTTGAAAAGGCCTACGAACGAACCGATTTTGTACCCTGTTTTGCTCTGTACTCCCGGATACCGTACTTACTTTTGCAGATACCATTTTATCGCGTTCTAGAAATTCAAGATTGCAATTCGGCTGATCCCTAATATGCATCTCGCTATTCAAGAAAAAAATTGTGCAGCTAGTCGCTTCCGGCTTTTTGGAATAAATTTCTTTCCACAATACATATTTTTGTTAATAACATAAAATAGAGCTTTAAAGGTTTGACCATTAGGTCTAAATATGCAAATTAGGAAAATGCAGAGAAGATCAGCTGGAAGCCCTTTATCAGTAACCCTCTGAACTTAAAAATTAGTGCACCCATAATTCAAAAAATATCTTCAAAAATGTATTTATTAAATCTGTTATGTACAGACAATAGAACCAACCTAACCAATAGATGGTACATTAAAATACACAAAATTACTTGTTAATTTTAATATTTCCATAAATCTTGTGGCAGGCCACATAGGTGCTCTGCTCCTTGATCATCTTGTTAAACGGCAAGCTCCAATAGACGTCGGCGGGGAGGGGCTCGTCCTAAATAAATTATTTTGTTCCAGAAATACTATAAATGCCATACTAAATCGAAAAAACCTACCTTGAAGAAGCTCTTCTTCGTCTTCTTATAGACTGACTCGATCCTCTGCTGCGTTTGCATCTGTTTCGAGACGTCCGAGTCAAAGACGTAGACGGTCGCAAAAATTCCCATTGCGCGAAGTGACGGACCGCCATCCTAAAAATGAATATATACATACTTTTTATAGCTTTAAAAATACCTCGCTGCCCAACAGCTGCAAAAATTGATCCTGGTTGAGCCCCTGGGACTTCAGAATCTCGTCAATTTTCGGGAGGCAGAAGACGAGGCGAAGGTTCTCGTAGACGCCCTTTTTCAGGCCGTCCTAAAAAAGAAATTAATTTGTTTAGAGTTTTTCTTGTCTTTCGAGTTTTTTTAAAAGCCTACCGAGCACTTCATAGCCTTTCCATCCAACTGAAGCTCCGCTCGGACGCCCTGGACATCGCTGAAGGCTTGGCAGGCGTGGCAGTAGAGGCTGAATTTAGGGTTTAGTAGTTTAAAATGTTTGAATTTTGTATTTGTAGGGTTCTATGGCTATATGGCTATTTATATAAGTCTTACCAAGATCCAAATCCCCCACAGCCATCAGCCCCCTGATTTTGGCAGCTCTCGGGGACGGCTCGCTTGTTGGCCGAGTTTCGGATTTCCAAATAGATCGAGAAATCACCGGAGAATTCCTAAAAAGTACTAGAATTTTAAAAATTTATGGAAGTTATGCTTAACGTATCGTAACGCACTGCTATGGATTTTTAATCAGATAAGTTGGTCGCGGCATACAAAAAAAAGCAGAAAACCGGCTTACTTACCTCAAGGACCTTCACTTGGCCACCAACCGCATAGCAATTACCTCCGCCTTCTAACTAAATAGAGTTAATTAGAGCTAATTACGAGTTAATTTCAGTTTCAAATTTCGTGGCTACATACCTTTTCCAACTTTGGCCCTTTTCGCCCGTTTCCGCTTTCAAACTCCAATTTCTTCGTCCATTTTGCTTCTAGATTTTTTAAATCACAGTCACTTTAACGATTGACTTACTAGAGCTGTGTCCACACGGCTGATGCTTAATTAAATCCAAATTAAAGGAAAGGTCATCTCCAATTTCGACTGCATAAATTATCGAGGCAAGAACCGAGCAGCCCAGTATAATTGCGCGCATTTTGAGATCGTTCTTTGAGCTGGAAAAAGGAAAAGATAAAAATTTGTCGCGAAACGTCAGGAAAGACATATCAAAATTAACAACAAAAATTCTATTAATTTCAACGCCTAAATATTTGTTTGTTCACCTGCGGGGGTTCGTGTTTGGGGGGCGGAGACGGGGGTGTGTCCCAAACCGCCTGTGGGGCGCATCGCCCCTCATAGCCCACACGCAGCGCCCCCCTCTCGCGGCTTAGTGGTCTAGTGGTATGATTCTCGCTTTGGGTGCGAGAGGTCCCGGGTTCAATCCCCGGCTGAGCCCAACTTTTTGCTTTTTGGGGGAAAAGTTCGGGAGGGGTAATGGGATACCAGGGAAGTATTAAGGAGTTCCTAGTTTTATTTTGAAGGACGTAAGCTACGTTTTATAAGACTCAAAGGGCCAATAAACACCCTTGAGTTGCAAAGCGAAGAAGTAAGGTTCAGGGGTAGGAGGGCTCGAGAAGATGCTAGAATGCAAGGTTCAGTTTTTTGAGCGCATCCCAGACTAGACACTCCCTTATGCAAAACACTGGAACCGAATAAAGCGCCCCTAAGTCCCCAAAACCGTAGACGCGGGGCGAAAACGCTCAACAATAATAGGGCGAGACCAACCCGCCAACAAAACGCTCAACCCGCCCCGGGGGCGTGAAGCGGAATGGAAGAAAATAGGAAAAGAGAAGATAGGTGGGAGAAGGTGGGGAAAATGGAAATCGAGAAGCCACAATGGCAGTTTCGCGCTTTTGCCCAGACCGGGATCGCTCGACCTCACAGTGACCGCCCCAGGGTTGGGTTGACGTAGATGGTGGGCAAGAGGGGCAAAATACAACTTTTTAGGGGCGTAAGTCGCTGCATGAAAAAGTAGCTGAAGTCGAAACATTTATCAAATGAGATAATGGATATAATCAACCCGAATAAATCGTCCATCAATTCTTGGATGATAGTTTATCGTTACTTTTCGAAATTTAAGGATGTAGCGTGACGGTGCCATATAGTTTATGGCATCCAACGTATCCGGCCTGACGCTTGATCACTTGATTGAAGGGCAGATTCCAATAGGTCTTGCTTTCCAGTTGATCGTCAAAAGCTAGGTGCTTTTGCTCGCGAATTTTGGCCTCGAGACGACGCTGGGATCTAAGAAAAATACATCAAAACATGGGAGTTTCGATGCTTACTGTAGTAGTGAAGTCACATTCTTGTCGAAAACATAGACCGTCACGAATAGCGAAAGTTTTGGAGCACCGGAAGCATCCTAAAACAAGTCGCGAGTCTAATTCAATGGAGCTGGTGATAACAAGCATACTTACCACCCCAGAAGTAGCCAGGATTCTTTCCAAAGCAGATTCCGAAATCCCTTGCCACTCCATAATTCGCTTAATATCGGGCAGACAAAAGCGTAGCTCCACATCCTCATAGTGGCCTTTCTGGAAATGGGGTTGAACGCGGGATTGGTGAACCTTTAGCGGCTCGCAGCCCATGATTTTGCCGTCGACGACCAGCTCAGCGCCAAGAATTTCGGATAACGTGCCAAGAGATTCACATGGGCGGCAGTAGAGGCTGAAAATGTATTTGATCATTGCTTAGGCTATGATATCACGTAAAAACGTAAAAACTGCAAAACAAACTTAAAAATTGCTCTACAGGGTGTCCCATAGAAGCACCCCCCAGCGGCGCGCAGTCGTGTCCGATTTCCACCGTTTCGGTATCTATCAAAAGCTCTTGAAAAGGCGAGAAAATAAGGAGGGTTTTTCCGTATTATGTATTTTTATTCGCGAATTTCACCTCCAAAAACCAAGAAAACGGCTTACGCGAGATCTGCATGTTAATTGCGAAATTCCTATTGAAAAGCTGCCTGTTTTTTTTGCAAAAACGTTGAATATGGTACGAATTAAAATAAATTTTGAAAACTGAAGCCCGCTGGTTTTCTCGCGTTTTCGCCGGCTTTCGAATGTTATAAAAATCATCCTGATCTAAGTTTCCTCCGGACCGCTAGAGGGGGTGTTTTTTTTGGGACACCCAGTATAGGATCCCTGAAAAACCTACCAAGATCCAATCCCTCCACATCCATCCTCCCCGGCATCTCGACAAACCTCCGGTGGTTTGCTCGTATCCCCAGTCGTCGAAACCGATAGGTATATTAACAGATTTTCCGTAATGTCCTCATGAACGTTGACTTGGCCCTAATTGCCTATTTTTGATGCTTGTAAGCCTCACCAACCTGAATCGAATAGCAACCCTTTTGCTCCAGATTAATTAGTTGGGCCCCCTTGGTGCCCTGCCCGCCTTGAAATTCGAGTTTTCGATTCCAGAGAGCGCCTAAAATTGGGACCAACAATGGCCAAAAATTTGGCGAAGGACCTTTCTTTAGTGCGCAGCCTTGATGTCGATGGAGCTTTAGATCGAGGGATTGGGCATATAATTGTGGTAGGAATATGAATAGCAGAATTAGAGGGAGCATCTAAAACGGCGTAGTTAGCAGGGCAATTCCTTAAATTTTGAGGTTTTTGAAATTCCACATGGAAATTCCATCGGGGAAAATCGATAAAAAGCAGGCTGGGGCACAAGTTCGAGCTCCAAGCAAATATCATGTGGAGAAACGACAAAGTGAAAAACGTGAAAACGCACCGAATTCCAGAAATTTCTGAAATTCGAGTTCGAACTAGGGAAGTGAAACCCCGCCCTCGAAGCATAAAAGTGAGAAGCCGCCGAAATCCCCCCAGGCCGTCGAAACCAGATCTTTGGCTTAAGCCCTTCGGATCATTTTGGCAGCTATGCACAGTGAAATGGACCACCTTTCCCTTATTCAAACGCTGGCACCTCAACAAAAGTCAGAAAGTCGATGGCCGGAGGCGAAAATCGAATACAGATTCGGGGGATTTGTGGAGGATGGAGGGATTTGAGTCAAAGCCGAGAGGCGGCGAGCCGGTTCCGGCACACGCCAGCCACGCGATATACGAGGGGGGAGATGCGCGCCAAGCGCTTTGCGGGGGTGCTGGATGGCTTTACAGACGGCGGGAATAAGCCGAGACGGGGTTGGGATTACTTGTGGGGCGGGTTTCAGGTAGGAGAAAGTGAAGGCATCGTGCTGTTTAGCGAGAAAAAGTGAGAAAAGAGTCGTTTAATAAAAATATATCAAAACTAACGCCAGAAGTACTAACAAAAACGTAGTTATGAATTAAGAATCGCTATTAGATCTCTAGGCACTTAGGCATTAATAGCGCGCGTGATATCTCAACAATTTTCGACTTTTCTGGCCCTCCCTTCCCAACCTCCGGTCCGTCTTCATCCCTGCCTCCGCCTGATCTTCGCACAAAAAAACTCCCGGAACGAACCACTTCCCCTCCCCCGAAACTTCCAAATGCCATTAGCCATTCATAAAACAAATCACATCACAGTGCAGCCCTCTAACATCTCGTCTAATTGCTCATCTCCCCCGGCTGCCACAAATCCACACAGCCCAAAAGAAGGGGGGAGAACTTTCAGTTTTGGCAGAGAAGTGTGTTCCCCCCGGGGGCTTCCATGCAACATCTACACGCTCGAAAAAACGGTGAAGCGCGTCCCGGGCTGGAAAACCGTTTTTCCATCACTTGCCTCGATTCGGAATGGCAATGGTCATTTTTTGTCTATTGGGAGGGCGCTTTTTCCGAGGGTGATCGTTGAGATTTTGGGCTTTATTAGTCGCGGAAGTCATCCAAAACTCGCTTTTGATTGTCTTTTCAAGCAAAACGTAATTTTACGTATATTTGATTGCTTTTTAAGAATGAAATACGATATTTTAGAGCAACTTTGAGCGTTTAAAGCGTTACCACATCCCAAATCGTCCGTTTTTTTTGCCTTAGCCATGTTATAATTTTGTTTCAGGTCATTCCGATGCGCAACCTCCGGTTATTAAACCTAATTTCATCGGCCCTATTCGTAATTTTACTCGCCGATGCCAAAAACCCAAAACACGAACATCGCCGACAAACAGAAAACTCGGACGAAGACCCATTCGGACTCCAGGGCAATGGATTTTCGAGTGGTGGCCAATTCCCAGGACAAATGAATTTTAATGGTACGTTGCACTACGTCACACTCATGCCACCGCACCCCCAGAATTCCAAGTCCCCAAGGGCGCCTACAAGAAGCTGCAAAAAATGTACGAGAGGGCGATGGCGCCTTTTATGCAGCAAATGCTGGGGGATGGGCAGTCGCCATTTTTCTTTGGCCAATCGAAAGTGAAGAATGTGCAGCCGGGCGCTTTTTCGCGGGTAAGTACTGTAATACGGGCTTACAGAAATCGCTAAATGATTTTCTAAAATGTGTTTAGGTTGATGCAAGGACTGGACCTATCGTTTTGAATCCAACCCCATCGGATCCATCAGATCCAATTATTGTTTATGGACCCCAACCACAGGTAGGTCCTTTGAAATCCCATTTTTCGACTTAAAATTTTTGTAATGCGATTCATATAATAGTTTTAATCTCGGGCCTAGGTGCCCCTTGTCCCGCTTTATCCTCCACCTCCGCCAGCTGTAGTTCTCGAGGAGGAACAATGCGAATTTGATGAATTCCGTAAGGTTATTTTGTAGTCAATACCGCTTCACGCTCTCGTCTGTTAATTTATCTCCTTTTTAGCTACTAAAAATGTAAACGATTTTTCAGAAAATCGTTGCTGCAATAGAATGCTAAAAGCAACTATGAAAGCGGCTCTTGCTCCACTACCTATTGACTCGTGTGACATTGGCTTAATGGCAAAGGTATATACTGACTTCAGTTTTCGGTCCCCTTAAAGAAATTCCCCCACTTCCGCGTTTCAGCTCGTCCAAAAGAAAGCCGAAGAGGTGTTCAAGATGGATTTCGAAGCCCTGGCCGGCTATAAAGATTTTACGATCAAATCGAACTATGTCGGGAATATGACCTGTAAAATCGATCGTCACGGGAAGCGGGTGATGGCCTTTGCGTCGCCTAATGAGGAGAATGTGGGCGGACAGAAATTTTAGTGCAATTGGATGTTTAGGCGGATCCTGTGAAGCGTCAGACCCGAATCGCTAGGGAGAATGAGGAACGATTGGCTCGAGATCGTCGTGTTGCTAGAATTCAGGAGGAATTAAGGCAAAAGAGGATGATTGAAAAAGAGAGAAAGGTAAGGAAGACTATGTTTCGGGTTTCCGACGTTTCTCTCTGTATCTCTCGGTTTATCTCTCTGTATCTCTCCCCGCTCTCATCTCTCTCTCTCTCTCACTCTCTCTATAAAATCTTGTTTCAGAGAGAACGTCATGCTCGAGGAAATCCGAAAACCGCTGTCGAAAGACCACGACAGCAAGCATCAAAGGTACCTGTGAAAGCCCTCGTCGTTTATTTCTGGCTTAGAATCTGCCGGTACCGGAGCACCACATAAAGAGACCGCACCATTTGGAGGAAAAGTTGCACCATCAACAAGTGCCTGTGAAAGTCATGGAGGCAAGGAAACTAGAGGTCCGTGAAGCTCCCGATCCAAAGCCAGCCTTAAGCTCTCAAAAAAATTGAATAAAATATTTTTAGGGGCGGCCCGAGGATCCAAAGATGAAAACCGTCCCGAAAAAATCGAAGGCGTGGAAGATATTTCCAGAGTGCCGGCTGCCATGACTTCATTGCCTGTTTCACAGAGCTCAAGTAATAACTTCGTAATAAGGAAATCAAAGCCTTTTAGCAAAGGCAACGCCACCTCCAACGTTAATGACAACAAAAACCGTATTGGAATATAAAGAACTGCCAAGTATGCTTTAATTAAATGACCAATTACATTTTCAAACAGTTTTGACTTTCAAAATGCCGAAATTCAATTTTTTAGCAACATCGACCACGACACCACGGCAAAGTTTTTTCACCTTTAAACCAATCACCAGAAGAGGTCAGAAATTTGCTAGCTCTGAATCCATAAATTTTAGCAAAAATCCAAGACGGTACCGCCGGGCAACGGAAGCAAAAAATCCTGTCCGATTTGCTTTGAGGCTATTTTTGGAATAGTGCATCCAAGTGCCTATTTGTTCAAGATTACCCCCAGTGCAATAATGACGCATACACGCTAGGGTCCGAGCGACTCAATTTTCGGCGTCCCTGATTCATTCCCGATGCTTGAGTGGTGGTGCTGTTTTTGTTCGTGTTCGATCGATAATGGTGTAATAAATTTTCATGTATAAATCCAATGTTCTTATTACCGATTTTCTTAAGTATGAACGCGCTTACAGAAATCCCAGATTTTTTTTGCATTACCGCGCCAAAAACCCAATTTTTTTCGTATCCAATTTTTCGGATAAATAGAATAAGCACTCCGAATGTTTTTATCGTCATCCACCAAGAAAAACGGTCCATCTTTTACTCAAAAATACAATAACTAGCGTTTTATTACGCAAAATAGCCGATTTCCGCCCAAATTCTCGTATTTTTGAAAGTTTTTCAATCGTTTACCCACTAAATATATATGGAAAAATTTTATTAGAAGCACGTTTAAAATACTTAATATCACGCTCCTAAGCTTTTCCGAAATCGGTCGGACCGGAAATCGGTTTCACACTTGCGACCCCCCCCTATAATACAAAAGAACCGAAAAACCCTATAGAAGCTACATGTAGACGGTGCTGATCATTTCCGGTCCATTGGCAGTGCGCCAAATCTGGATCACAACTCCCAGATAGTTTACATAGGGTTCCGGATGCGACCAGGGCTTCTGGCGTGTTCCCGTGCGGATCCGTTTATGGGTCTGGGAAACACGTTCGAAGGCCCGAAACATCTGGTGTTTATATGCATGTTGCATTCTCTCTCAAGTTCCAGCTAATCCGTGTAGTTTACACACTTCCTCCGGACTTCTGGCAGTATGCCATTCGGTTTAAGGGTTCTAGCTGGGTCTTTACCACATTATAATTTGCATAGAACAATTGCTCAGAACGGGTTGAATTCGGACCCCCATTCTCCCCTCCACGAAAGCCGGTAATCGATAGAAGGGGTAACATAGTAGATTTATATAGAAAATAGTATTTTATGCAAAAGTCCGTTTTTATGCTGTCGGTTTTCTGGTATTAGATCCGATTTTGCAAGGAAGGCCTTCAAAACCTGCTTTTCCAATTTCACAATACCTATGCGCCCTCGATCATTGTCGTGCATATATTCGATTGTCCATTTTTATAGTCAACCGTCATCCCGTTCGTCGTCGGCCCTTCCACCCCCACGGCGAGCGCGGCACTTTTGAACATTTTGTCGAGGGCCATTTCGGGGGTCCCATTTCGAGAGGAAGGCTCACCCCGAGCATTTCATGAAGATTCGCCGCATTTGGAGGCGCAGGAACGAGCGCATCGAAGGTGATTTGCATATTTTGATTGTAGACGATTTTCCCGATTTTTTAGGGCTCTCTTTAGCGCTTCTTCAAGGCTCTCTTAACGAAGGCGGAACCTAAGCCTATGCCTAAGCCTAAGCCTAAGCCTAAGCCTAAGCTTCCACCCC